CTGTCAAGTGCATCTTTCTGGGCGTGTGGCTGCATCAAGTACGTCAGGGCGTGTGTGAGGCAGAGAAAGGCGCACAGGAGCCCGCGGAGGCCCCAGCCCCCTCCTTCTGGGATAGGTAGCGCAGGTCGGGGAGGAGGAAGAGGGTGGGGGTGTCCCTGGCTCCCACAGGACCCTGGGGAGGAAGCTGGACCTCACAGGGGCGCATTAAGCCCGCTTGGCCCCTGCCCCACCCCCTCCCTTCCTGTCCCTCATCTCCGGCCAACCGGGCCCTAATTGAGGAGGAGGAGGGGCCCACGAGGGCCTGGGAGGGGCCCGAGGAGGGTGCCTTACCCCTCTCTCGCCTGGGCCCCAAGAGGGGCAGAGGAGTTTTGCCGTCAGAGAGCCGTGTGATCCTGGGGCCAGGCCCACTCATCCCTGGCCTCAGTTTCCCCACTGATAAAACGGAGGTGCTGAACTAAGTGATCTCCACGAGCACTGCCAAGCCAGACAATCTGGTAAGGCGGGCCCTGTAGAGTGAGGGGAGGCAGAGGGAGAGAGTGATGGGTGTGCAGGCTGCACTGGCCGAGTCGGGAACCTGCTGAGGTGGGATCCGGGCATTGGTGGGGGGAGTCCTGGGGTGACCCAAGGAGCTCAGGGGCAGGAAGGGAAACAGGAGGCCAGGAGCTTGCTTCCTGGTGGCCGGCAGGCTGGGAAGGCATGTGGGTGGGGGAGGGGGAGGAAGTCCCCTCCTGGCCAGGTCACTCCCAGAGGCTGGGCTGGGGCGGGGCAGGCGATGGAGAACGGAGCTGAGCACCCTGGCCACCTTCACGCCGCCACCCAGCCGCCCAGGAGCCCAGGAGCCCGGCTAGGTAAGGGACTGTAAAGGGGCTGCAGGGGGGCACACTTGGCTGTTCCTGCCCAGTCCCCACCCTCCACTGGTGGCCTCTCTTGGTCCCTGCCAAGGCAGGGGGTTCTGTGTGCCCGCGTGGGGCGCCCACTCCCAAACCCAAGTCTCTTGGGCTGTCTGGCTGGGTCCTGGGCTCTGTGATCCCACCATTCTGACCGTCCCTCTCGTCTTCCATGCCCAGGACTGGGCACAGGCTGGATCCCCACTCACACACGCTGACGGGCACCTGCCACCCTGGCACCTCTCTAAGGACTCCCATCCAGAGACCCTGGGCAGTAGGGCCGGGCCCTCGGGCGGAGGCTGAGTCGGCCCCGTCTCCTCCAGGCGCTCAGGAAACCTGCCGCGGCCCCACCATGCTTGTGGCGTCCACCACCTCTGGTAAGGCCCCGGCCCCTGCACCCCCGGGTGAGCCAGGCGGGCACAGTGGCTTTGCTGCTACAGGTGCCCCTCTTTCTGAGACCTCGCTCACCCTCCCTCTTGGGCTAAGGGGTGGGTGTCACGTGGGGGTGGGAA